ACAAAAAATAAAAAACAAAAGAAAAAAAAGAAACGGAAAAAAAGGGAAGCAGAAACGGAAAAAAAGAAAGTCCAAAAAAAAAAAGAAACCGAAATGAAAAGAAAAATGATAACAGGTTTTTTTTAAGTGATTTTTTTTACTATTATTATTATTATTTTTGGTAATTATTATTTTGAAAAATCTCCAAAATTAAAGTATATGGCAACCATATTATATGAAAGTTGTGGGGTGCCTAACACCTTCCTCACGCTTAACTGACCCTCTGAGCCTAGCCAATTTCTACGTAGGCCTTAGTGATCTATCCCACCTCATTTGGATAGATAGTGATTTCATTTATTTTGGCATGTCAACAGTTTGGCAACTCCACTGGGGACATTGAAGGGTCAAGCCATTTATACTTTAATTTTGGGGGTTTTCAATTATTAACTTTTGTTTTGTAGATGGCATGGAGTGCCTTATAAGTTTTTTTTACTTTGTTATTTTATTTAATATTTTATTATTTTCATATGTTAACTTTATGTGTATACTCCCTCACACACCTCACTTGCATATCATTTAGTCCTTGATGAGGTGAACCCGACCTCTCGATAGATGGATAACTCATGGAGCAATGAAAAGCGCAATGCTTTCATTGTGAAGTGAGATTTATCTCTTTTAGGTTCATTTTGTGGGTTAATATGGCTTAACAGCCATAATGCTGCTGCTGTATTAGATCATGAAATGCCTCTTATTAACTCTATAGAAGTTGGCAATTGTTGGCTTTATGGAAGTTGGCAATTGTTGGCTTTATGGAAGTCAATAATTGTTGGCTTATGGAAGTTAGCAGTTGAAAAAGCCTAATCATATAGGATCCACTAAGAAACCACATGTAATGGACTTAGACAAAACTTAACCCTAGGGCGGTCAACCTAGTAAACCACTTTCAAAGTCTAAGAACCTTATACATAGGACACATTGGGAGTATTTTATTTTTAAACAATGTTTTTGTGTTTCTTAGGTGAGGAATTCGACCAAGAGGTATGCCATTTATTAACTCTCCTTTTTCTTTTTCTTTTTTTTTTTAAATAGGTAATTGATTATTTTACACATGGATTCTTTAGAGAAAAAAAAAATATAGTAAGGGAAAAAGGATGAATTTAGAGTTAGAATGTCTGTCATTATCCAAAAAGAACAAGTTACACAAGGATGGATTCTCTGTGCAGACCAAAAGACCTTATGTAAAAGACTGGTTGTTGCTTGGAATAGTTTGAGTAATCTTGACAAAGTGAATTTTACTAGTTGAGAAAAAGCAAGTTCCTCAATAAAAAGAAGAAAAGATATGAGGGAGGCAATCTCCTCATTATTTTTCTTTTACTTAAAAAAAAAAAAATTCTAAAAGATCATGAAAGGGGCAATCTCCTCATGTTTCTGGCTGGCATGACAATTGCTTGGCTCTAATTTCTCATTCCCTTTACATACAAATGGCTAAAGTTTTTCTTAACAATGAAGAATCCATGTGTAAAAATAAAAATAAATAATTAGAAGTTAGGTTTACTCATTAATGGGAACTTTGGGAACTTATCTTTCAAAATACCAATTAGATAAATTCATGATTTGTTAATAATGCTCATATATTTTTGAGGTGTTAAAAGATTGGTCCTAAAAAGAATTATCCAAGAGTTCGTTCACCTATTCTCACTAGAGCTCTTGCAAGGAAGATGGCTAACGAAGCTAATTTAGAGAAGGTCATTTTAGAAAATCGTGTTGAAAATATGGAAAATACTTTGAAGGAATTGATGGCTTCCTTCCAATCTCTTCAAGCAACCTTAGTCACAAGGGCACCTTTGACAACAAATCCCTTGTTTGAAGGAAATGTTTCTGTGGCAAATCTCCCTATCGCCATATCTACTCTTGGAAAGGAGCAAATGTCATCTTGCCCACCAAATCCAACTATTGGTGGAACTTCTGGGACAAAGCCATTTGTTCTAAATGCTGGTGTGCTACAGTTCAGTCTAATGATCAAGAAGAGACTCAATTTGTCAAGTCAATCACAGAGGATGAAGACAAGGCAATTAAAGTGAAGGTGCAGTTGATGGAGGAAACACTAAAATCGATGCAAGGTGTCCAAACCAATAAACCGGTTGACATCTCATCTTTGTGCTTTTTCCCAAACATTCAATTGCCCCATAAGTTTAAATTGCCTGAGTTTGATAAGTACAGTGGCACTGGTTGTCCTTATGCCCACTTGACGATGTATTGTAAGAAGATGGCTCCTTATGCCAATGATGAGAAGCTAATAATACATTACTTTTAGGATAGTCTGACAGGTCCTGCAGATGCTTGGTTCTCAACTTTAGACAAGAGTAAAATTAAGAGTTGGCATGATTTGACTCACAACTTTATGAAGCAATATGAATACAATACATCATTAGCTCATAATAGAGAGGATCTTCAAAAGATAAAAAAGAAATCAAGTGAGAGCTTTAAGGAATTTGCACAGAGATGGCGTCGATTGGCTGCTCGAGTTCAACCTCCACTAACTGACCATGAATTGAGTAATTTATTCATCAAGTCAACCAAAGGGCCTTATCGTGAGAAGTTAATAACTTGTGTGAATTACACTTTTGCTCAGTTGGTTGTTGTGGGAGAACAAGTGGAGGATGGAATCAAGTCTAGAATTATCATGGATTATCAAGCAATGAAGAGTCTCCTTAAACAATACCAAAATGATAGTTCAGGGGTTTCTAGTTCAAAGAAAGTGGGCCAAAATCAAAAGAAAGAGAATGAGAATAGCACTATAAGTTCAGTTTATGAGGCGCATAATTAGTCGCGGGGGCAGTTCAACAATTGGTTCCAAGCTCCAACTTATCAATCAACGGTCAATCAAGGCCCGTTTATGCCTCTGGGACAAGTCGTCCACAACAAGAGAAAAAGAGACGTTATTTTGATAAACTTCCAACGTCATATACTGAAGTGTTTCGACAGTTGATAACAGCTAGGCTTGTTACCCCTGTACCTATGGTGCCATTAAATCCACCATTTCCAATAGGGTATAACCCACAAGCAAGATGTGAATACCATAGTAGAGGTGTTGGGCATGACCTTGAAAATTGTCTTGCTTTAAAGCACTGTGTCTAAGATCTAATAGATGCAAAGGAGTTACAAATTATATCAGAACCTGAGGTTGTTGGTCTAAATGTCACTAAAAACCCTTTATCCACACATGATGGTCCAACAGTTAATATGATCGAGAAAGACTTCGATAAAGGTCATGAGGTGACTACATCAACAAATAATGATGGTTTGAGCACTTCTTTTGAGAAGTTGAGCATATGTGTCATTGATGAAGCAAAGGGTGATGACAAGCTTATTCTGCCTACTCATGGTGAAGCTTTAGACAACAAGACAGTAGAGATTCTTTCTGTTCCTATCATTAAATCGTAAGATGTGTCAATCTTCTTGTGGTTGAGCTTGTGACCATGAGAAGAGATGGTTAAAACAAGCCTTTTATATTTTATGAAGCATTGTAGGCATGACAAATAATGTTCCATTCAGTTCATTTCAATCAATGATGTTACTTTCATTTTCATTCCCTTTCTTCATATGCAAGATTCTTCATTCAAATTTCTCATGCTAGCCAAAATTTCCATCTCCAGGTTTGCTGATAATAAATCCACAAATAGTGATATCATTCTTGAACTTACACATAGTTTTGATGAACTGATTTATTCTATGGAAGATGATGAAGAATTAAAACCTTTTCCTGAATTGACTAACATGTTGAGAGAAGAAGAACCTAAATTCCAACCTAATAAAAAAGGCTACAACATAAAATGGGGAGGTCAGGCCTCGAAGGTTTCAAGAAAGAGATGTTGTTTTGAAGGAAAAGATGAAGGTTTGAAGGAAAAGATGTTTTGAAGAAAATTCTACCTAATGAAAAGGATCCAAGGGGAAATTTTGCTCCAAATTACAACGGTCTTTACATCGTGAAGGCAACTTTTTCAGGAGCAGCTTTATTATTAGTTTATCTTGA